GTACACCCTTTCCTACCGCCTGCAGAGGGGCTTCAAGCATTTCCTCGTGGATGCTTCTGGGGACTTCTACAGCTTCCTGGGAGTGGACCCCAATCGTCACGCCACCCTCACAGATCTCATTGATTTCCACAAGGTAGCCAGCCCTCCTCAGGGTGTTCTTGGGCATGACAGGGGCAGAAACTTGGGTTGAAGAGAGCCAAAGCAAGGCTGTGAGCGGACAGCATGGGCTGCCAGTCTCACAGCTATAGAACATTTGGGCAGAAGAGACCCAAGGTTGTCCAGGCCCAGTGTACTCCTTAGTCTCCGGCTATGATTCACCCTGTCCCTAGGCTGCTTCTCATCTGAGGACCTGAGTGCTCCCTGTGGTCACCAACAAGGGTTGGGTAGGTTGATCCTTCCTCCAAGTCTGTATCTCAGTCTTGGAAATGTCACCTGAAAGATACCTTACACCAGGCCTCTGGTAGCGGATGATCTAGACATGGGAGAATGAATTCAAATCATTAAGACCAGGCAAATGGATGTATTTAATATTTAGTGAGACAGTGATGGTGTCTCTAAGTCTCCAGCATCTACCTGAGCTCTGAAGATGGAGAAAGGATCACAGAATTGTTTGACTCTGCTTATTGGGCTTTTGCTTTTTTTTTTTTTTTTGGGTCTGGTCATGGGGCCTGAACTCTGGGCCTGGGCTCTGTCCCTCAGCTCTTCAGCTCAAGGCTAGCACTCTACCACTTGAGCCACAACGCCACTTCTGGCTTTTTTCTTTTTGCTTCTGTGGTGCTGAGGAATAGAACCCAGGGTCTCATGCATTTAAAGGCAAGCGCTCTACCACTGAGCCACCTTCCCAGCCCTGGGCTTTTTGCTATAACAGGGACTCTCAGATACGGGTGACTTTATCTCATTATGGATATTCCCAGGGCCTGAGAAACAGCTCCGAACCTGCCCTTATGTGTAAAGCCCACAGAAAACTACCCATTCATCCGAGTGTGGTGGTGCGTGTAATCTCAGTATTTGGGAAGTTAAGGCAGGAGGGTCATGAACTTAAGGCCAGTCTCGGCAAAGTAGGAAAAACTGTTTCAAAGAAGAAATAAAGATAGATGGAGGGGAAGAAAGAGAAAAGAGGACAGAGAGACAGACACAGGCAGATGCAGAAACAGAAGAGAGAGACAAAGAGAGCCAGAGAAGAACAGGTAGAAGAAAAATGAAGGAGGAAGAGGAGGGAGAGGAAGGAAAGCAGGGAGGAATGACGGTAGGAAAATAGGGAAGAAGAAATTGAGTGCCAGTGGCTCCAGCCTGTAATCTTTGCTACACAGGCAGCTGAGATCAGGAAACTGAGATCTGAGGATTGCAGCTCAAAAGCCAACCCAGGCAGACAAGTCCCTGTGAAACTCTTATCTTCATTTAACCACTCAAAACAAAACAAAAATAAAACAAGAAGTAGAACTGTGGCTCAATGTAGTAGAGTGCTAGTTTTGAGCAAAAATGCTCAGCGACAGTGCCCAAGCTCTGAGTTCAAGCCCCACAACTGACCAAAACCAAAACCAAAACCAAAAAAAGAAAGATAAGGAAGAAGGAAACTTTCCCCATTCACAAATACCTGGTATAGAGCACTGCCCAGAAATCGGGAGTAACCAGGATCAGCTGTCTCCTTGTGTTGGGTGAAGCCTTGCCACAGCCAGAGCAAGCAGAAGATGAGTCAGACACTGCGCCTGCTCTTCACTCCTTGCCCTCATGTAATCTCAAAGCGCTATTAGGGAGGATGTTAGCCCCAGCATATTAGCCCACTCACAGTTCAGAAAGCCAATGCCAGCGAGGCTGAAAAGCTTGGCTTTGGTCTGGCGGCTAACAACAGCTAGAACCAGGAGTTAAGCTGCAGCTGTCAGTCCACAACGTGTGCACCCTGCCAGTGCCACAATATTTGTTTGCTTTGTCTATCACAAGCTCCTTTAGCAATGATGAGCTTCTTGTTCCGGAAAGTATTTCAGGCAAAGGGTAAATGCCTGTCTCTCAGGGCAGGGCTCTGAAGGAAGGCCAGATCAAATAGCTGTGAAGCCTTTTATTCTCTTCCAAATGTAAACTCTTTTGAGACTGACCATTGGATTTCTGGCACTACGAGGAGGTATCATATGTGCCCACATGGAGATCTCTTATAAATTGAATTTTAATCACACCATTGTTTTCTTGATTACATTGTAAGAAACATCAAACATAACACCAGGTGAAAGCCTCATTCATGTTAAATCTCTGTTTCTGTCCTTCCTCTCCAGCTTGCTGGTAATTTCTGGGAACTAATCTCAAAACTTATGGACATAAGGGAATGCATTTTTTTAAAATCACTTTTCACAGAAATCAGATAACTCTTTATTTACAGCTCAGCAACTTTCTATATTAAAACATGATTAATAAATCATGGAATTAAGTGTGTGGAAGCCTGGTCTTTAGAATCAGAACACTGATCCTAACATCATTATAAAGCATGATTTTAGGCCACTACTTAAAGTCTGAATATTGGCCTAAAGTCTTCTCTTGAGTTCACTGTGCAGTTTCAATGAGATAATAGGATGGTTTTTTTATTTTTTAGTCCAAGATTGGGACTCAAACTTGGTATCTGATGTTTTCACTCTTTGGTGCTCTACCACCTGAGCCATGCCTGCCATCCCAGAGATATTATTTTGTAATGTGTTGGAACAAAACACCTAACACTAGTAAGTTACTAGTATGTGTTGGCTGTTATAAAAATGTGTCTATGAGATCTTTCGGTGTCCGTACAGTGCCAATCCTTGTAAGTGCACGAGGTCCCCAGGAATCGATGTGTATCACAGCTTAATCACTTACATTCCTCCCTCACACCCATTTCACAGCTTCCAGTTTCTTACGACCTTGAACGGTGCTCCAGAGACCTCTGCACTATGCATGTGTCACCATCCCTGTGGACACACAAGTAGTAACTTTCTAGGATGGATTGCTGGAACTGGATTTGCTGGAAAGAAAAGTAGGCACATTTTAATTAGCAAAGATCTGCCAGATTGCCCTCCCAATGCACGATGCCAGTTAACATTCCTGCCAAAACTGTATCAGGCTTTCTCCCTATACTGCTGCCAGCGCTGAGGATTTATTGGTGATTTCATGATTTTTTTTTCCCTGTCAGTGAGCAGACACTGTGTCTCCCAATTGTTTAGCTTGCATTTCTCAGATTTCCCCTGAAGCAAAGGATCTTTTCATATACTCACTGGTCACTGTGATTTCTTCTTCAGCAGGAAGCCATCTCTTCATATCTGCTGTCTATTTTTTGATTTGGATATCTTTCTTATTGATCTGGTCATTCCTTCAGCTTCTCAATGGCTCTTCAGTTATGTCCATGATGCCTTTTTAGTTCTTTCACTGAAAAATTTCAGTAAAAATGTCATGCCCATTCTTGCGTCATGGATGACTTATTTTATTTTGTTGAGAAAGTTCATGCACAGCTCTCAAAGGCTCCCTCTGTTTGCTTTATGAACTTGGTATTTTCTTAGGAATCAGTTCTATGATTGACTTTGGCATCTTTCTTTTATAGTCATAGTGATCCTTAAATATTTATAAATTTTGCATTTATGATGTGATATTCCAACTCTAATTTCTGGTTTACTCATGGTTGCCCAGTTTCTCTTCCTCTACCCCCAACCCAGTCTCTTCATGCTCTAGGGGTTGGAGTTGACCATGAGTAGCTCATTTTTGGCATGAGAGTATTTGAACTTTTGGGGTGTCCTTTGTCTATCCAGGAAGGGGGTATCATAGCATATATTTCCTACCATTTCCAGATCTATCTGAGGTTAACATGTTGGATCTTCATCTTCAGCATGACTTCAACTTTAGCTTTAATTCTACATTCAGTCTCTAGAGCATCTATTTCTATCTTGTTTTCAAGATCCTTCCTTTGTCGCTGGCCTCCCTCCTACTATTTTTTATTTAAAAAGTGTTTCCAGGGTTGGGAAGGTGGCTCAGTGGTAGAGTGCTTGCCTTGCATGCATGAGGCCCTGGGTTTGATTCCTCAGCACCACATAAGCAGAAAAAGCTGGAACTGGCACTGTGTCTCAAGTGGTAGAGTGCTAGCTTTGACTGAACAGCTGAGGGACAGCGCCCAGGCCCAGAATTCAGGCCTCACGACCAGCAAAAAAAAAAAAAAAGTGTTTCCAGGTACCAGTGACTCACACCTATAATACTAATCACTCAAGAGTCTGAGATTTGAGGATCATAGTTCAAAGTCAGTCAAAACAGGAAAGTCTATGAGACTCTTACCTCCAATTAACCACCAAAATTTGAGACATGAGCTGTGGCTAAAGTGGTAGAGTACTAGCATTCAGCAAAAAAGCTCAGGAACAATACCTGCTCAGAACCTAAGTTCAAGCCTGAGGACTGGCATAAGACACACACTACGCACACCTATAACTCACATACACACACTCATACATTCTATATTGTAATTCTATGTTGTCAGGACTGGTACTATATATAAAACAATTTTATACGTGTATGTGTATACATATATACATATATGTATACATATGCATATATAGATATATGTAAATATCTATGTATATCTATGTATATATGTGTATATACACATGTGTTTATACATATATATGTTTATATATGTATATATACAAATAGTTTGTTCTGGGGCTTGAAATCAGGACCTCTGTCACTTGGCTTTTTGCTCATAACCACTTGAGACACACTTTTACTTGTAGCTTATTGTTGGTTAATTAGAGATAAGAGTCTTGAAGAGTCTGAACCACAGTTTTCAAATTTCAGCCTCCAGAGTAGCTAGGATTGTAGGTGTGAGCCACCAGTGCCCAGCAATGTCTTTGATTTTCCAGTACTTGAAGGGCTCCTTTCTTAGAGCAAGAATCAGGATGGAGATGCAGATGTATAGCTTTTTGTGTTGAGGCAGTCTCTTTGAGGTGACTTTTTTTAAACCACTTTCATAATTACAAGTGAATTTTCCTTTTGTTCTTCTATTTTAGGAGGAAATCATCACCGTTTCAGGAGGAGAGCTGCTGCAGGAACCCTGTGGGCAGAGAGACAGCCCGCCAGACTACCATCTGTTGTTTGAATGATTTTTTTTTCTTCCCCTTATGAATTGGATTCCTTTGGGCATCCGTAAAAAAAAAAACTCAGCAAACTTTCCAACTTAAATATTACAGCCTTCTGGAAGATCCAAAGGGAACTCATTTGTGTGACTGTTCCCATTGCGAAGCTCAGAACAGAAATGGCTGATAACCAATGTAGCCCTTTCAGGGAGAGTCCAGTGATGGTGGCAGAAGACAAAGCCTATTGGTCATGGCTGCCCTTGTTGGAACTCCCTGAGTGCACGGGTCAGTTTTTAACAACCCAAAAGGATTTCAGTGCCTAACTCTGAATTTAACATATGGTAGATATTCAGTCAATGATGGTTGAATGAAAGCATTTTGGAGAGCTTTCCAATGCTTGTCAGTAATGACTTCTAGTAAGTTATTTCCCCTTTCTCATTCTTTATAAAGTCATAAAAATGAAGGATTTGTGTGGAGTCCACAGATACTGCATCTTGCATGGAGTTCATTGCCCTCATTGATAAGACCACTGGGATTACCCAAGGCTTTCAGGCCAGGACTGATGATTGACTTTGTGCTACTTTCCTTATTCAACCTCTTCTGTCACCTTCCTATGTCTTCGAATCTTAGTAATGTTAGTTAATGTTAATTTTAGTAATGATTTAGTAATGTTAACCAGCTATTTCATGTACTCTTTTTTAAAAATGTGTCAGTGCTTGGACTGAACTCAAGGCCTTAGATTTTTCACTCAAGGCTGGTACTTTACCCCTTGAGCCATACCTTCACTTCTGGCCTTGTTTGTGGTTCTTTGGAGATCAGGTTCTTATAAACTTTCCTGCCATGGCTGATTTGGAACCATGATCCTCAGATCTCAGCCTCCTGAGTAGCTAGGATTACAGGTATGAGCAATTGATACCTGGCTTTCATGTATTCTTATGGATGTGTCCCCAAATTGGGGAGGGTTATGAACTCAAGGATGGTTTTTAGACACTGGAGGGACCTTTCCTCTCTAGGGTACTTTCCATATTCATGTTACACTCTGACCCCATTATTTTGGTTTTGTTTTTAAAATTTTCATTCTGCTGGTCTTTCATCTAAGTAGGTTTTTTATATTGACCAGAAGACTCTTCCAATGACTCCTTAGTAACTCTCAGGGATGGTGCCTATTTGTGTGGAATCATGTTCCACATTTATGGCCAAATACATGGGACGGTTTATGATGGGTAGATTATAGGCTCTGGAGTCGAGAAGGTTCAAATCTTCCCCCTTTCATGTACTCACATTCTAAATGCTCACGTAAATGTATTTGGTGAATGCAAGAGGACAGAAGGAGTCTGGGTTCATCAGGGAACTCCTTTCTTTCACTGGCTAGCTGTCTTCAACATCTTTTATGTTCTGCTTCACCTCTGCTCACACCCATTCTTTGGAGCTTGGATCACTGGTCTCTCTGGCCACCATCCCTGTAGCCAATTTTGCATGGGGTTTGCATTTCCTGCCTGTGTTGATCAGGATCACATGGTGCTTTCCCACATATTGTACTGTATATGGGCCTCTCATCCTCTCATATTGAGGAGTCAACATTCAAAAGGGCTGGTAAGTTAAGGCTTATAGTAGCTGACACTAGATCAATGGGAGCCTGAGGCTGGTTGGCTCTTTCTCCTCCCTTCTTCCTCGTTGAGCTTCTGCTGTAAGGGGCAGCTCTTACTATGGCCCCATAGAAGGCAGTCCTATAAGATGGAATAATGATGTGAGGAGACCAGGCAGTGGGCAGATCAGTATGACACAATGCATTCTATTTTATGCACATCTCCCTATTTTACTCTGGGATTATATCCCAGACTCAAGTCTCAAGTCAGAAGCACTGCCACCAGGATCTACCTGGGTAAGTACCCATAGTGCACTTGTGTTTAATAAATACCAGTTTTGCAACATTGCTCTATAACTTCCCCTCAGTCTGCCTGCCTCCCTGGGTAGGTAGTGATAGAGGCTGCTGCACTGAGAGTGCAGAATTAATTTAAAGCCATAGCTGGTTTTATTCCAATTTCCTTAATAACCTACTGGGACTCAGAGGTACCAAGCTTCTATTTGGCTCTGTTTCATTTCGACCGTGAGAAGTTGTTGAAATCATTTAACCTCTCTAAATCTACACACAAGTGGAAAGAGGAATGTTCGGTATGGCCACCGTTGGCTTTTGCTAGCTGGCAGTATCAGTTAAACAACAAATAGGGAAACTCTGTCCAAATGAAATGTCTTATGAACCACAGCTACAGACACCACAACAATGTCGTGCTGAGCAAGGGACATGTCAGGGGAAATGAAGTGATGATTTCCAACGTGTTGAATGAAACTTCCAGCAGCAGCTCTGAACGCAGACCAACATGGCTTGAGAACCTGAGTCCCCGGGCTGTTGTTCTTGTCAGCTCCTAATTAATATGTGAAAGACAACAGCTGAATTTTTCTATCCCTAGCACATTTATTTTGTTTTATTTGGGGTCTGCACTTTCTGCATGTGTCATATATTTTAGGTTTTACCTGGCTTTAAAATAAATTCCTTATAAGTTGTCCTGCAAATGGAATTACTGTCTGGAAAACGGCAATTTCATCTCGAGAGTTTTATTATGCTAGTAAATGTCAGGATTCTCAAATAAAGGAATTTCCCATCTCTCTCTCTCTCTCTCTCTCTCTCTCTCTCTCTCTCTCTCTCTTTCTAAGCTCTACACATATAATGAAAAGCAGTCAGTTAGCTACAAGACTCAGCAGAGGGAAAATTTACAATCTATAGCTAGAAAGAGAAGTTGTGAAAGGTGAAAGGCACTATGCAACTATGGAAGACAAGTTTTAGGGATTTGAGGGAAATGGGGCACAGATGCAGGGTGATTCCCTTCATGGTAGTTATTCTTGGGGATTGTCTGAGGGTTCATGGGATAAAAGGGGAGAGAGCACTATTTAAAGGAAAACAAGAGCTGTAATATCTGGGGCTTGTTCCTTTGTTTCCCTCCTCCCTTCCATTTGTGACATTACTGGGGATTGAACTCAAAGCCTTTCACTCTCAATCAGCTTTCTTGCTCACAGATGGCACTCTGCCACTTGAACTACACCTCCACCTCTAGCTTTTTGCTGGTTAGTTGGAGATGAAGTTTTGCAGATTGTTCTGCCTGAGTTGGCTGTGAACTGTGATCCTCTAGGTCTTAGACTCCTGAATAACTAAGATTATAAGTGTGAGTCAGCTTCTTGAATATTCACCTTCAGGACTAACTTGTATTTCCCAATGAATCTCTCCATTTTCTGGGCTATGCAACATGCTGCTTGTTTCAGACAATGATTATGAAAATAACATAAGATTCTGTAATCATACTGACAAATGTTGGTATAAGTCGTGTGTGTGTGTGTGTGTGTGCATGATTGTGTATGAATTCTCACAGTCATGCTGAAGGAGACTACATTCTCCTCTTCATCTTGTACCTAGGGAAACCAAGGCCCAAAGAGGCTCCATATGTTCCATGGGATGCTTCTCTGGAAATGCTCAGAGCAGAGATGAATCTGCACAGGCTGCTGTGTCTGCCTAGATCCTAAACTAGTGCTTCTCAAACTGGAATGTGTGAGCAGAACGTGTACTGATGTAAAAAGTATAGAGCCTCTTGCAAGGGGTCTGGGATTGGGCATGAGCTCCTGAATTTCTAAGAAGCTGAGGGTGGGTCTTCTTCTGTGGCTGGACTGTGGACCACACTTTGAGAACCCAGCTGTGTGTGTGTGTGTGTGTGTGTGTGTGTGTGTGTGTGCTCTGGTTCTGGGACTTGAATTCAGGGCCTGGGCATGTCCCCTTAGCTTTTCACTCAAGGTTGTCTCTGCCACTTGAGCCACAGCAATACTTTCAGCTTTTTGGTGTTTATTTATTTATTTTTTTGGGGGGGAGCGTAGATAAGAGTTGCATAGATTTTTTTTCTGCCTGGGCTGGCTTTGAACTGTGATCCTCAGATCTCAGCCTCTCAAGCAGCTAGGATGACAGGCAGGAGCTACTTGCTTTTACTTTTTCATGCCAGTGATAATACTGCTAGGGACATGGGTATACATCTCATGATGTTTGTGTTCCAAAGTCCCAAGCCACTGAACACTCCAGCCAAGTCCAGCTTACAGATTCGGAGCAATCTTTGCTAAGGATATTCAATTCCAGCTCCCCAGTCTCAGTCCATTTCCTGACTTTCCCTTTCAATGTCCCATGACTTGTCTGGAATGTGTTCTCCTTTGAGCAGTAAGTTAATACACCTAACTTTGGCTACAGGTGTATTCCTGGCAGGCTTGATCTATCTATAGTCATCCATGAAGCAAGCTTGGCAGATAGTCTGACTCTGTGTCCTGATTTGCACTTCCTGATAAGTGCTGGTGTTGAGAATTTTTTTAGTATACTTGTCAGCCATATCTATAGCTCCTTTAAGATATATCAATTCAGGTCATTTTCCTATAAAAATTCCAGATTACTATTTTTTTGTTGTTAATACCTATTCTAGGTATTAACTTACTTCTGTAGGAATATTTGCCAACATTGTCTCCCATTCTCTAGTTGTCTCTTCACTACGTTGGTTGTTTCCTTTGATCTGTGGAAGCTCAGAATTCCACAGCATCCCATTTGCCTCTCTGTGTTTTTGTTGCCCAGGCTTGTGGAGTCTTATCCAGAAAAAACACTGCTTTACTAATGTCTTGAAATGTTTCCCAGGTGGAATCCCTAGGGAAATGCAACTCAAAATGTCATCTTTCCCCACTCAGAAGGGCTATTGCCAAACAAAAAAAGTAAAAAATAAGAAATGTTTACAAGCATGCTGAGCTTGGGAAGCATGGGAACTCTTATACACTGCTGCTGGGAAAGTGAATGAGCCGTATGTCCACCTATTTCCCCTCCTTTTCCTTTTGCAGTGCTGGGATCAAACCCAAAGCTTCCTGCATACTAACAAGCAATCTAACACTGAGCTCCACACTCAGCCCTTAGTATAGCCATTATGGAAAGCAGTATGGAGACTTCACATAAAAA